CCTCCCACCCTGCGGCCAGAGGGGCGGCAAGGCCCGAGCCCCCTCCCGTGTGGACGGTTTTAAATCCAACGGGAAGGGAAATCTGATTTAGCGCGGCACGGGGATGCTCGGAGCAGGCGAGGCGGAGGGGTGCTGGAGGGCTGGCCCAGCACCCTGGATGTGCAGCGCATCCCGCTCTGCTCCCGGCCCTGCGGCGTCAAGAAGTTTGGGCCACGGTAGGAACGGGGTGTTTCCAGCCGGCGTGTTCTCCAGCTGGGATCTGTGCTATGGAAAAACCCCGCAACAGGCTTTCCCAGCATCCTGGAAGATGCTTCCCGCGGGGTTTTTATTGCCTGGGGTAGCATCAGGCGCAGGAAGGTGCTCGGTGGAGGGGATCACAGCCAGCTCCTCCATGAGCAACAGGATGGAGCAGTGTCCCCAGCCGGAACGTGCCCTGCTGGGTTGTCCCGCCCATGGTGCTCCAGGATGGGGGTCTTGGGGCCCACCCCAGCGTGGTGCAGGGTGGGGACCCCAGCCTGGCCCCATCCAGACCTCAGCACCGCTCTGCGTGCCAGCCCCTGCAGCGAGCCGATGCATTTTAGGCTCTAGGATTGTGCTTGCAGGGCCCGTGGGTACCACGTTTGCCATGCACCCCCAGGTCCCCCAGCATCCCACCCATCCTGGCAGCCATGGAGATGCTGGAAAACCTCTCTGCTCCTACGAACGCCACGTCTGGCAGGGAGACCAGAGAAATCGCTGTCATTGATTTTTTTTTTTTTTTTTTTTCCCTTTTTTGCCTCAACCTGCTGCCTTGGAGGATATTTTCCCTCCGGCCGGCTGGGTGGGCTGCGGGCAGCGGGGGGGGGGCCGGCGGGTGCAGAGGCAGGCTGGCATCTAGCGACTGGCGCCGGTAATACGGCGGGCTGCTCCCCAAGGCCTGGGCTGGGCTGGCCCCAGGGCAATGAACCAGGTTTTGGGTGGCTCTGGTAGTGTTGCTGGAGGATGCCGGGTGTTTGGGGAGCTCATTTTGGGATGCATTTGGTGCGGACCTTCTCGGGTGTGCTGCTGGGGTCCCTCCGGCAGCTTTCTGAGCATCTCCCTCCTGTGCTGTGGCCCCTCGGGGAAGCAGATCTGAACCTCTTACCTTAAAAGCCAGGTCACAGCCCATCCTCGCCCCTGAAAAGGCTGCAGGAGTGAGCGTGTCTGCCCAGGCCGGTGGCTGTGCCCCAGCCCCGGCAGCAGAGATGCTGAAAAGGGCATAAACCAGGGTAAGCGTGTGCTGCCTGCGGAGAGCAAGCCGGGATCTTCCCCAGCAGCCGCCCTCCGTGAGTGGTTTTCACCCATTCATTTCTCTAATTGCTTTTTGGAAAGCACAGTAGCATTTGGCATTGCTAGCATCGGGGTGGAGTGTTGAGCCGGGCTGGGGCAGGTGCTGTGCCTTGGGGGAGGCTTGTATGGCCCCCCCCCCCAATCACCAATCACCACCCCAAACCCAAACTCCTGCCCGGTGGGTCAAGGGACCCCACTCTGCTCGGGGAAAGCCTCTTTCCAGGTGGAAAAAACATAGGAGCCGCAGCAGTACAGTGGAGTGATGAAGGCTTGGGGCCAGCTACGTGCCATCCATCCCTTGCAGACCCCTGGCATCACCCGGGGGGCGATCCCCAGGGGGACACAGGAGCTGTGCCCCCGGGGCTGTCACCACTCTTCCTCCCAGGTTGGCCACGATGGGCTCAGTGGGAGCTGAGCGCTTCAAGGAGCTGAGCCCGGCAGGGACGCCGGAGGGCAACGTGGTGATGAGCTTCAGCTTCGACAGCTACCAGCTGGAGGAGGACGAGCTCCAGCGGGGCAGCCAGGCCAAGGGCATCCTCACCTTCATGGAGCCGGGTGAGGGCGGGGGCGGCCCTGACCCACAGCCAGGAGCCGTGTTTCCTGATGGTTTCCCACCCATTTAGGAGCTTCCTGGGATGGGTTTAATAGCCACAAATGGCCTGAAATAGCATAAAATTGCTTAACGCCTTTTTTTGGACCCATTTGTGTCCATGTGAGCTGCACAGCATCCCGTGGCAGCCGGCTCTGCAGGTTGGCAAGGAGCTGAGGGTTCATGCCCTGGCTCTCCTGCCCGGCTCACCCCCAGCCTGCAGCTTCACCCTTGCAGGGCTCAGGGACCTCCACCTCCACACCACTCCAACCCCTCCTGCGCCTTGGCTGTGGCTGTTGCCTCCGCTGCCTGGCGCTCAGGTTATTTGGCTGCTATCAAAACTCACGGGCCCCCAAAGCCCGGCTGTTTCCCTGCCTCCTGGGTCTCTCGTTGAAATGCCTTTATTTAGGGAAGGAGTTTCTCAGGGCTGGGGCCGTTTATTCGTGAGAGCTGTGGGGCACTGGGCTGGTTTCTGTGGGTGGCCCCCTCATTTGCCATCAAGGATGTGGAAGCACCATTCCTCGCCCCACGGCTGGGGCCTGCTGCAGGTCCCATGGGTGCAGCAATGCCACTGTAACGTCTTTTTTTTCCTCTCTTTCCCCTTTTGGGGCAGTTTCTGAGGATCCCGAGCCCCAGGATCGATATCATGGGATTTACTTTGCCATGCTTCTGGCCGGGGTGGGATTTCTTCTGCCATACAACAGCTTTATCACCGATGTGGACTACCTGCACCATAAATACCCAGGTAGGTCTCCAGCAGCTGCAGCATATCCCAGCCACCCCAAACTTGGGGAGAGCTCGGCACTGCTTCCAGGGGAGCTGGATCCCCCACCACCCTCCATCACCTGCCTCTCCGCAGGGACCTCCATCGTCTTCGACATGAGCCTCACCTACATCCTGGTGGCCTTGGTGGCCGTCATCCTCAACAACGCACTGGTGGAGCTGCTGAGCTTGCACACGCGGATCTCCGTGGGTGAGTGGGGGTCCCCACAGCCCCCGGCAGCACCGGCCCCGTGTTGCCCCACTACGACGCGCTTCCGTCTCCCACCCGCAGGCTACCTCTTCGCCCTGGGGCCCCTGCTCTTCGTCAGCATCTGCGACGTCTGGCTGGAGCTCTTCACCCGCAGGCAAGCCTATGCCATCAACCTGGTTGCCGTCGGGGTGGTGGCCTTTGGCTGCACAGGTATGTGGACAGCAGCTGGCGCTGGGGCAAGCCCAGCCCTTTGGATAGGGGTGGGAAAACATCCCCATCCCCAAGAGCCGTGGTCTGCTGGGACAACTTCTTGCTCTGACCCCTATAAGCTGACCCCGTTGTCCCTGCTCCACCTCTGTCCAGGCACCGCGGGACTGGACGGGGCCACCAGCACCAAACCATGCATCAGTCCCCAACACCACGATGGCTTTGCCATTTGGGCAACCATGGTGACTTCCCATGCCCCTGCACCTGGTGGCCACTCTTGGTGGGAACAGCCATGGTGGGGCACCCAGGGAGGGCAATAAGCCCCCCCACTTTTGGGACAAGAAGGCTTTGGGTGCTGCATTGGCTGTTCAGGAAGGGTGCAGCTCCTGGGTGGCACGGCACGTGGGCCCCCACCGGGGTTTCGTCCCCCCCTCCCTGGCATTTCGGCTGCAGCAATAATCCCTCCTTCTCCCCTCGGTGCATCTCTCCTGAAGTGCAGCAATCCAGCTTCTACGGCTACACGGGGCTGCTGCCCAAGCGCTACACACAGGGGGTGATGACGGGCGAGAGTAAGTACCTGCATCCGCGTCCGCATTCGACTGGGCGGGCTCGCTCGGGGGGGGACCCTCCTCTACTGACTCCCAGGGCCCCAGCGAGTCACACCCGGGGCCCTGCTGTCCCCTGGCCAGGTTGCCAGCAGATCAAGGACACCCCAGGGCGCTCCCCAGCAAACCAGGGTGTTTAATGGTTTGTAAATGACTTGCAAGACCCACTGCACTGCCACGGCAAGCTGGGGGTGGGGGTGTCTGCCAGGAGCTGGCTCCACTGCCCCAAAGAAATCACTGCTTGTAGCTCCTCCACACTTGGAGGCATCACCTCCACATGGTGGGGGGGCTGGCTGCTGGGGGTCCCCGAGCCATGAGGCTCAGCAGGACCCGGTGCCAATAGCTCTCCCATGCCACCAGGCACTGCCGGGGTCATCATCTCACTCAGCCGCATCTTCACCAAGCTGCTGCTGTCGGATGAGAAGGAGAACACGGTCATCTTCTTCTTCATCTCCATTGGTATGGAGCTGACGTGCTTCATCCTCCACCTCCTGGTGAAGCGTACTCGCTTCGTCCGCTACTACACCGCCTGCTCCTGCAAGGGTGTCCCCGAACCCCGGGGGGTTGGTGACCATGGGACAGGCTACCGTGTCCACCATGATGTCACTGCTGAGGATGTCCGATTTGTAAGCCAAGGGCGGGTTTCCTTGATGCCCCTTGTGGTCCCTTCTCCCTGCTGGAGCTCAGCACTGGTGTCCCGTCTCCCACACAGGAGAACCGGCCACAGGGGCAGCCGAGCTCCCCCCGGGGCAGCCCAGGCCCCGAAGCTGAGCTGGCTGGCAGTGGCACCTACATGCGCTTTGACGTCCCTCGGCCCAAAATCAAGAGGAGCTGGCCCAGCTTTAGAGGTGGGTGGTAGGCTCAGGGGAGGGGGCGAGCCAATTTTGCAGCATTTTGTGGGGCAGACAGAGCAATTGGTGGCCTAGAGCTTAGAGGGGAGGGTCATCTCTTTCTCAATGCACCCAGAAACATGGGGCAATCACACCTTTGGAAGCCACTGTTGAGGTGCAGGCAAGGCTTTCAGGCTCTGCAAGGGTAGAGCTGTGAGTTTTGGCTGAGCCATGCTGCCCATACCTGCCAGACATGCTGCTCCACCGCTACGTCGTGTCCCGGCTCATCTGGGCCTACATGCTCTCCATCGCTATGACCTACTTCATCACGCTGTGCCTCTTTCCTGGGCTGGAGTCAGAGATCCACAACTGCACGCTGGGGGAATGGCTCCCCATCCTCATCATGGCCATCTTCAACCTCTCCGACTTCGTCGGCAAGGTAGGAGAGAGGCCAGCTCCAATGCGGTGGAGCAGATGCATCCCTTCCACCCTGCCTCCTTTTTGTGTCCTCTTTCAAAGCCGCTTGGCTCCACCAAGAGTCATCTCCACCCTCTGGGTGTCTGGTGTGAGATTGCTCACTGGTGTGGCTGAGGTTGGGCTCCTGCAGCAGATGGTCTTGCCACCATCTCATCTTCTCCTTCCTGCCCCATTTTGGGCACCACGTTGCCCTCCCCAGCCTCCTTGGCCCCCACAGCGTGGTCTTTTCCCCTCGTTGCAGATCCTGGCTGCCCTGCCCTACGACTGGAGAGGGACCCACCTCCTCATCTACTCCTGTCTCCGTGTCGTCTTCATCCCCCTCTTCATCATGTGTGTCTACCCCAATGGGAGGCCCACCTTTGGCCACCCTGCCTGGCCCTGCATCTTCTCTCTCCTCATGGGCATTACCAACGGCTACTTTGGCAGCGTCCCCATGATCCTGGCTGCTGGGAAAGTGAGCCCTGAGCAGCGGGAGCTGGCAGGTAGGACCAAGCCCTCCTGGGCACCCCATCTGGGGGTAGCCAGAGTGCCCTGACACCCTGTGTCCCTTCCCACAGGGAACACCATGACCGTGTCCTACATGACAGGCTTAACGCTGGGCTCGGCCGTGGCGTATTTTGCCTACAGCCTCACCAGTACATCCCACAGTACCTGTTTCTACACCGAAACCTCCAACGGCTCCTTTACGTCAGGGTACTGAGCTCTGGAGCGGGGCGACGGGGACAAGATGGGACCTGCTTCCCACCATGGTCCCCACCGCCCCGCTTGGCCCATGTCCCTCCTTGGGGAGGGATCCCAGAGCCAGAAAGCTGCTCCAGGGCAGACAGAGACCGGCATCCTGTTGGCACAGGGCTGTGGCATCCCAAAATGGCCCGTGCCACCCAGCAAGGGCCACTTCTTGGAGTGACATCCCCCCACCCCAGGGGATGGTCCTGTTGCTCTTGGGGGTGCTCCCCATCAGCCATATGCAGCTCTTGGGTGGGAGATGGGGGGTGGGAGGGGTGGTGGTGGTGTGTGTGTGGGAGTTGTCTTCTCCTGTTTGAGCCAAGCCATTGCCAGGAAGAAGAAAATACTGCCAAATCCCAATGGGAAAAGGACCAGCACTGGGGAGGAGGGTGATGGAGAGCTGGTGAGGAAGAGGAGGAGCGAGAGAGGAAGGAAACGCTCCTTCGGGCCCCGGTGGCTCTGGGAAGGTGGGTCTCGACTTTCACCGATGGTGCTGCAGGTTTTCACCAAGAATGGCTTGAAATCACGATCCCTCCCCAAATGCGCCCATTGCTGGGTGAAAGAGCCAATTCGGGTCTGCTGGCTGAGAGAAAAAAAACACACAACCTTTTTTAAATTTTTCTTTTGTTTGTGTCTTTTTTAATTTTTTTTTTGTCCCTCCAACTTTGAGAGAGGCAGGGTCTTGTCTCCCTGACTCGATGCTGGGGGTCTGCCCCATCACCTCCCTTTCCTGGGCTGCAATGGGGCAGAGGGAGGGGGGCGGATCCTGACCTCCTAAGGGGGAAGTTGTGAGGCTGCAGCACTGTGGATGCCACCCATGGGCCACTGATGAGCCTCAGGATTTATTGCAAGGGGCATAAATGAAGCCAACATCAGATTAAATGTCTTTGCAAGGCTGCCTGGTCGTTAGCCGTGGCACAGGCAGGGCCCTGGCACTGCAGGCACTCGGCTGCCGGTGATGGGCTGGGCTGGCAAACACACACAGGGTGATGCCTCCTGCCTGTCCTGTGGGGTTTTGGGGTGCCCTTTGTGCTGCTCCCCATCTCCAGGGTCCCCTCTGTCACCTGGGGCAGCTGGATTTGTCACCGGGTCCCCACGGAACCCCTGCCAGCCTGCAAACTGCTGCTGAAGCACGATAGCTCCGCGGGCAGCAAGCAGGAGAGGGAAGGGGCTGAGCAGAGCAGAAACCATCTGGAGATGGCGCCAGCACCAGAGGGGCTTTTCAGGACCGGCTGCACCTCGTTGTGCCAGGAGTCAACGGGTGCCACCACCTCCCCAGGACGTGAAGCCCAAGGGCTGGAGGCGGTGGGAGCAGGAGGCAGGCAGCAGCAGGCTTGGCACCCCCAACCCAGCCCCGGGGGGGGGGGGGTCCCCCCGCCCAGCCCCCCCGC